CCCCCCCCCCCGGTGAGCCCTGTGCATCCCACTTCCCCTGAGGCCGGTGGAAGGTCGATGGAGCACCCACTGGGACCCCTGGCACAGCACACCTTGCCCAGTTGTAGGTCAGAGATAGAGCAGGCGTCGATGAAGGCCTGAGCAATGACTGAGAGGCAGGCATCGATGTGGTCTGTCTTGTCAATGTCAAAGACAAACTGGGGGTTCTTCAGGATGTTCACCCAGAACCGGAGAGGAAGGCTGCAGAATGCGAGACAGAGGCAGTGTGAGTGGAGCAAGGCTAGGGCCAGGAGCTGGGGCCACAATTGGGAGGATCTGGGAGCAGGTTTCCTGCTTGGAGCAGGGTAAGCAGCGGGGTGTAGAGGCCTGAGTCCTCCCCACCCCCAGCACTGCCACCCCTCAGAGCCTCCGTGCCTCTCACACAGGGGCCTCAGGGCCAGCCCTGGTTCTCATTAGAGCACTGCCACCCGCCCGCCTCAGCTGCCCAGCTCCTCCTCTAGGCCTCTCACGCAGGCAAGGCAGAAGTCCACTCTAGAGCTTCAGCAGGCCTGAGAGGGGGTGGGGCCTGAGTCCTCAGGGGACAGAGAGGGGTGCTGACCCTCCACCCACCCAGGGCCACCCGGTGCATAGACCCTAGAGCTCTGAGAAACACCTGAAAGTCCACAGAAACTTCTAGGCCTGTGGGCATTTGTCCTGAGGTCAGGCAGGGGCTTTTAAAAAGTTCTTGGTGGGATTTGTGAACCTGAAAGCTAAGATGTGCCTTAAAGGAAAGCTAAGACATGGTAGAGGTGTCAGGTTTGACCCTAGCTCTGCTCCCGCAGGGGCTGTGTGAACTTCTCCGTCAGCCTCAGTGTGCTCATCTGTAAAATGGAACCGACTGTGCCTTCCCAGGAGGGGTGATGGAGAAACAAGGTAGGGCAAACCCTGACAGAGCTCACTGGGTGCCTGGAGCACTCCTGATTCTCTTTCATTACAGTGTGTTATTCTCAGTGCCCTGGTTTAACAGCAAGGGCAAACTGAGGGATGGGGTCACATATCCAGAAGTGGCCGGTGGGCTTAGAGGCTGAGCTGTGAACCCCACGGCTACAGGGAACTCTGTACCACCCTCCCTGTCGCCCACCTGTTGGTCTTCCAGATGTGCAAGGTGTCTGGATCTGAGATGCCCCTCTTCTCAGCCTGCTCCTCCAGGAAGTCAAAGAAGTACTTGACAGCCAGCGGGGGCTTGTCCTCCCGGATGCTCAGAATGGCCTTGAACAGGTCATCCAAAAATTTCTGCAGTGTTCCCTGAGAGAGAGAGGTGTAGCTGCTTTCAGTCCGGAGTCAGAGTGTGGAGGGTGCGTGGGCACCTCCAGCAGCTCCTGAGAGCCCTGGGAACTTGGATGGTGATTTTTCCATTCCATCCGGTCAGTCACGTGATGACTTGGGGACTTAGTTTTCTTGTCTGCGAAATGGGTTTGTGAAACCCTCCTCACAGGAATATTGAAAAGGACTGCACGAGATAAAGAGGGACAGAGCTGGCAGTGGTGATGCTGGGAATGTGGGTTCTTGGGTGTCACGGCCCCTGCGGGACCTCATTTCCCTCTGTGACAAGAGCGAATACAGACCTCTCTCACACACCTTTGATCACTGTGATCTTTTGTTGGCAGGACCCACACCTGCCAGCCTCTTGTCCTGAGAGTCCATCGGGCACCACATAGGTAACAGGAAGCACTTGTGCCCCCTGACAGAGCCTAGAAGGAGACTGAGGTGGGGCTCACCTTGGTGGACAGCAGGCGGGTCAGGTAGATCTCAGGCAGCACCTTCTTGCGGTGGCTCTGCCGGTGGGACTTCTTGGGCTCCACCAGCTCATCCGTGGGCAGCACCTGGAGCCAAGCAGTTCCCAGCCTGTGCCCATGGCCCCCTGGCTCTGCACACGCCTTGCAGAAGGGTCATGGTACCTCCTGCCTCTGAGTCACAGTCCGCCCCCCACCCCAGTCTTTCGAGGCCTGGGAATACTTTTCCCAGAGGCCCAGGGTGGCAGGAGGCCCGGGCCACACCCAGCAAGGGGCTGGCTCCCGGAGGCCATGGCCAGGCACTCACCAAATGGAAATACTTCTCTGTGTCCAAGTCTTTCACTGCAAGAAGAAATACACACACAATAAATAAACAAGCGAGAGGAGGAACACAGACGCCCGGTCAGAGAGTGAGAGAAACCGAAATGGAGAGAACTCGAGGGCAATGCAGAGAGGGAAAGACAAGAGGGAAAGATGGAGAAAGAGAGATTCAGAAAGACCCTGCCCCCATTCTTAGGAAGGGACTCTGAGACCCAGAGGAGTCCAGCTCCTAGGTCTAAGAGTCAAGCAGCTAAGCGTGGGGCATCTGAGGGGGGGGTCTGGGGTACCCTAGGAACCGCTCCCCACCCGTCTGAGCCTCCTCCTGGCTGCCCACAGGAAACCAGCTTGGTGGCAGGTCCGGCCCCAACAATACTGAGTCAGAGGGGGCTGACTCTGGCCCCACCAAGGAGGTCTCAGTCATAGCCACACTGTGACTATGCTGAAGGGGCCAGGCTTGGACTAGAGGGGCCCCTATCCCACCTAGAAACCCTCCCTCCCTATGCCCAACCATGCTACCTCGGCCCAAGGTGTTGTCCTTCTTGTCTGTGAGGCTCATGGCCAGGGAGGCGCCCTCAGGGATCTGATAAAAGGGGAGAGGCTGAGGTCAGAGGCCAGAGGTCAGGGCGGGAGGGAGTGATGAGTGGGGTGGGAGTCCCACCTTGTAGTGGGCCAGGGTATTGAGCTTCTTGCGGCCGTCTTCCATCACTGAGGTGTCATCCAAGTCCCGCAGGACGTAGCTCTGCGTGCTCGAGGCGAACCACTCTGTGAGGCAGGGAGCGGGGTTGTCAGGATGAGAAGGTGAGGAGCAGGGCCAGAACCTGGGCCCCAGACCCGAAGTGCAGAGACCACACAGCCCAAACAGCAAGCAAGAGCCCACCTGTCCCCGAACTTGTGTGTCCCCAGTCTCAGGCTGTTGCTGATGAAGTAAGGCTCTGCATGTGAAAAGGCTCACATATCTTCAGCTGCCCACTGTCCTCAGGGTAGAACTCAAGTGCTCAAGTTTGCCCTTCAAGTCTCTACCTCATTCTGACCCCTGTACCCTAGCCTCAGTTAGTTCCCTGACATCCCCTGCTCTGGAGGGCAGGGCCTGCTCTGCCCAGCTACCTAGGTCTAGAGCAGGGTCTGACAGAATGACACCGAAACTAAACCCGCTGCTGCCAAACCGAGTCTGACTCATGTCCCTAGCATGAGGAAGGGCAGAATGGCCCCCCAGGGCCTCCAAGGCTGTAAATCTTTACAGGAGCAGAATGCCACATCTGCCTGCCAATGAGCAGTTGGTAGATTTGAACTGGCAACCTTTCTGTTAGCAAATGAGCCAATTAACCACTGTGTCACCGGGTCCTTGTCACAGAGTAAGTGCTCAGAGAAGGTTGTGGTCACAGGTCTTGGTTTTGCCTTCAAAATCCCCATTCATGCTTCAAACTCCAAACCCCTCTCCCCCTTCAGAAGCCTTTCCTCAACACTTTCTGCTCTGAATTTCAGGATGCTGACACAGTACAGGATAGATCTCCCCACCAGATTAAGAGCTCCTTGTTGGTGGGGATAGTAATGTACATTATCTGAATTAAATACCGGCATCACTCTGCCCCTGCTCACCTAGGTCCACATCTTCGGCACGCGGCCACTGGGAATAAGGCACGTTCTTGCAAAAGGCCTCCAAGATCTTCTCCTTGACCTGTGTCAGTGTGTCCGTATCCATGGCCCGCACGCTCAGTGAGTCCATGCCACAGCCCTGGAAGGACACATTCAGGTTCTGTGGAGAGAGGGTGGGACAGAGTCAGAGAACCGTGAGGGAGCACCATGCTCAGGACCTGCGCCGGGCCCTCCAGGGTGCCCCCGCTGTCTCCCAGGGCTCACCCGGGGCTTGGCCTCGATGTTTTCCCGCAGAAGCCACTCCTCGTTGAGCGTGTAGCGGGCCTTGCCTGTGATGGCGTCAATGGAACCTTTATTGACCTGCTGCTTGATGGCACACAGGAGCAGGAAGAACGGCTCCCCAACCGTTTCCTGGGGTGACATGGGGTCGTCAGGGACCTGCGCAGCGCCTCTGTCGCCTGCCCTCCCCAGATCCCAGCCCCCAAGCTTGAGGCTGTGTTGGGGTCTCTGTCCACCACCAGAGCTGTCGTTTGGTTCCCTGTCCTGCTCTGGATGCTTGTGCCCACACTGCTGTTCCTACAGGGTTCTCTCCCTGGATTCTAAGCTCATGTTTATTCAATGCCCCCTGTTGCGGGAGGGACACTCCACATGAGCTATCATCCTCATTGTGTAGACAGCAACTTGCAGACTCAGGCCAAGGAACCTTCCCAGAGTCCCCCAGCTGGACTGGACCCAGGCCCGTGACTTTCTATGACAAGGGTTTAGGTGGAATAGGGTCACATGTGACCTCAATGCACCCGCCCAGTCTCACTGCTGTGTAACATGCCAGACTGAGCCAGGGCCTCGGAGTACCCTGCTAGTCTCCCTGCTTTATAACAGAGCGTGTGTCCGGCAAAGGGCTCAGCTGTCGTCTGTATCCTTGAGCTGAGTTCATGGTATATGTCATGGCAACTGACCAGATGTTTCATTTTGGTAGACGTTTCAGTAAAACCAATGAACTGATGTAAAGAAAACATGAAGTACATAATAGTACCAAGCCAATTTGGCACAAATGGAAAGGCAGTATGCCAGTCCTTGTTTCCAATCCAAACCTCCAGGTCAGGGATGGGAGCCATTAACAGCCCATTATCTGGGGCAGGGAGCACAGGCTCCGAGAGGAAAGGTCTAATTGGGGCCCTATGAACAGGAGGCCAGGGAGCTGGGTCCACTGTCTGCCGCAGCCTGGTCCTTCCTGATCAAGCATGAGGCTCCCGGATGAGGCAGCCAACAGGAGGGCTGTGCCCCAATGACCCCGCCCCAGACCCTGGCTCTGTTTGCTCCTGACTCCCCCAGGGGTAACAGTGGAGCTGTCCAGGCCTAGGGGCAGAGGCCCCATGTGGTGGAGAAGGGAGCCAAGCCCAGAGAGGACCATGGCTCACCAGCTATCACACAGCTAATTGGTGCCAAAGGCAGACTCAAGGCCAGGAGGATTGCGGCCAGGCCTTTGTCTTCCTTCTATGATTCTGCCAGAAAACTCTAAAGGAGTTTAGAGAATGCAGCAGGTCCTGACTCTCTGGATTCACCCTGGTCCCCTTCCTGAATGTTCCCTCCTGCTAGCCTTGCCCATGCTGTGACCAGTGCCTGGACACCCACCCTACTCAACCCTTGATGCTTACAAACCCTCAGGTCTCAGCTTAGGGTTGAGCAAGGAGTCTGGAAATGTTCCCACGCCCAGGCTTACCACCGTAGTTGCTGGGGTCAGGCCCTCACCCAGCTACTCCACGGTGGGCATTTTCATTCCTGTATCCACATCCGTATCACTTAGGGCCTCAAAGATCTGAGTGTACGTCTGGTTTATCTCTAAATCCCAGAGCAGTGACCCAAAGACATACCAGACAGGGTTTGGTGACCTGCAGGGACTGCCTCTGTTCTGCCACTATCCTGTTCTGAGCCCTTGCAGGAAGCCAGATCCTTTCTGAGCCTCCGTTTCCCCACCATATGTTGGATCCTCAGGCCCTGAGTCTGCACAAACTCTCCTGGTGGGCTGGAGTGTGGGCAGATGGACTCTGGGCTCAGCAGGACTGCTGCTGGGGCTGCTATGCCCAGCACGGAGGCTCACCCGCAGACAGCTGTACATGCAGATGGACATCCAGTTCGTGAGCATCTTCTCCACCACAGACTCGGTGCGCCGCAGCATGAGCTTGGGGTTCTTGGCGGCCGAGGCATCGATGAGGTCCACCAGCAAGTCCTTCATGATGCTCGTGTAGTACTCGAGCTTACCATGCAGTGCCACGGTCAGCAGAGAGGCCAGGCTGCACCTGCAGGGGCACTCCACCTCAGCACCACCACCATCCCGGGCATCCAGGGACCACGGGGTAAAAGAACCTTGAGTCACCGTGCAAACGGTGGGGAGGATCCAGGCCTGGGAAGAAGATGATCTGGGGAACTCAGAGCCACAGAATTCTAGGACCCAGGGCCTAAAGCTGGAGGACCCCAGCTGCCACCGAGGATGCCAGTTTACAAGCTTCCTCAGTTGGGATGTGGCAGAGAGGCGTGGTCTGCCAGGCAAATCCTGGACCCAGGGGCAGGACCCTGCCTCACTCTCTGGCTGACCTGTCGCGCACTGCAAAGTCCTTCTGCTGCTCCAGTGCATGGACGAAGACGATGAGGAAATGTTTGTTGTTGAGTAGGGAGGAGAAGAGGCTGATCCCCTCTTCCATGTTGGGCCGGCAGCTCTCAGGGATCTGCAGAAAGTCGGAGTGGAGAGTCCAATGGGACGGACCCTTCTGTCTAGTGTATAAGGTCAGCTCCTGGGGTAGGGAGCTCACAACTTTACAACGGTACATGCCTGGGTACAATGACTCAGCTGAGTCGAGAAGTAGAGCCCAGAGAGGGACATGGATGCTTAGGATGGCACAATGACCTCGTGTGTAGGACCCTCTTATCTTCCATTCTCTAAGCACCGGGTGGGATGGGGGGCCTTAGAGGGTCCCGATCCTCCCTCATCCTTAAATGCCCTGGAAGTTAACGCCTGTGATACCGTGTGGCTCCCAGTCCCCCAAGCTCTGAATCAATGGGTCAGGTGAGCTGACTGGCTGGGCCTAGAGCAGGACAGGGTGGGGCTGGACGGCACTCACCTTCCACTCCCCCAGGAGTGGGTGAGTCTCCTGCACCACAGAGCTGCCCTGGGAGTTGAGCGCCTGGGAAGGCAGTACATAACGTTCTTCATAAAGGGAGGAGCACTGTGGAGGCAAGACCCCTGGCACCTCAGTGGGGACAGAGACGGCCCTCACTCAACAAGCACAAAGGAACAGTGGCCTGGACTTGCCCAGTACACCTCTGCTAGGTCCTTGGAGGAGGGCAGTTAGGGAAACTGGCATAGAAGTGAGCTACATAAAAGAGTAAGAGGCCAAGCCCAGAGGGTCATGGGATTCCAGGAAAGGCAGTGGGGTATGCCCCAGGTCTTCCTGGGAGGGGCTTCAGGCAGAGGAACTACAGGAGCTGAGGTGTGGCAATGCGTTAATGCACTAAGCTAAACAAGAAGCAAAAATGTTCAGTGTGGAATGGGAGAAGCCAAGGCAGGGAGGCTGGAAGGGCTTGGCCCATAGGGTGACTATGGGCGCCTGGCCTTCATCCCGAGACTGGAAAGAGCCGCTGGGGAGTTTCATGAATAGTGGCAAAGGGCAGTCATAGTCAACAAGCTGGCTGTTGCTGAGGAGCAGCATGGTCTGGACAAGACAGGGGGTGCTGACCACTGGCACAACTGCCTGCTGGGTCAAGGAAAGTTGGAGACAGGGCAGGCAGTGGCCTCTGGGACGGCAAGAGGAGGGAAGGGGTCCCTGACCACCCTGCTCTCCATCTCAGTAAGGAGAGAGGCAGGCCCTGCACCCCAGGACAGGTGAGTGGGTAGAGTCGGGGGAGGAACTGGGCCTCCCCGCAGCAGGCTTATGTGCAGGTCTGACACTGTTCCACAAAGGTGCCTTCTAGTCAAGTCCAGTCCAGAGAGGGCCAGGAGCTCTGAGGTAATCGCAGGGGCTGACCTTAGGGAAGAAGGTCCGAGTCACGAAGTGCTTGTACTCCAAGAAGGGGATGCCCTGACTGCGGTTCAGCTCCTTGGTCAGGTCTGTCATGTCTGTCTGCAGCTCAGCAAAGCCTGGTGGGCAGGTGGGCAGCCATGAGTGGACTGTGAGCCTGTTCTTCAGCTCGGAGGGCCAGGCTCCACAGCCCCCACCTGCTACCTTTACGAATCTCCTCCCGGATCTGAGACTCCATCTCTTCCATCTGCAGCAACGTCTTCTGCCAATAGCGTTCTGCACGGCGGCTCTTGGTACAGAAGACGAACAGGGCTGAGGATGACAGGGAGAGTCAGGGCACAAAACCCTTCAGAAAGCAGGTGTGCAGGGCTTTATCTCCTTGGCCACCCTTGGCCCTTCAACTGTCCCCTCCCCTGTGGGCTAAAAACTCCCAGGGCAGAAGCTGGGCAGGAAGGGCCTCTGAGAAGGGCTGGTAAAGAGTAACACTTGACTTCCCTTTCTTATAATAAGTGTGTGTGTTTAAACAGGGGTTAACAGTGATGAGTGTCCCTGGGTGATTTGTTTTCTTTCTGCTTGTGAATTAAGACACTTAAAAAGCTGATTATCATTGTTATTAAGTGCTGTTGAGTTGTTTCGGACTCAAAGTGACCCTGGATAGGGTTTCCAAGGAGTGGCTGGTGAGTGTGAACCACTGACCTTACGGTCCAATGCTTATCCTACAGCGCCGCACGAGGACGCCATAAAAGCTGACCACAGAGCAGTCTTCTACGTGGACACAGACATACGTGCATGTGTACGCGTTTATACACACATTACTGCTGCCAAGTCAATTAGACTCATAGCAAATGCAGGTAGGGAGCACTCTTGTTTCCAAGGCTGTAATATTTATGAGTCGAAATCAACCCAACAGTCATGGGCTGGGCTTTTTTTTTTTACTTTAATTTTTTTGGTCATCTCTCTATAGGAGTCTTGGAGCTCTGGTGGCATAGTGGTTACGTATCAGACTGCCAACCTTAAGGTCAGCAGTTCGAAACTACCAGTGGTTCTTCAGGAGAAAGATGAGGTGTTCTACTCCCGTAAAGATTTACAGCCTCGGAAACCCTGTGCAGGGTCACTATGAGTCGGAACCGACTCCACAGTACTTAACAACAACAGCATAGGAGTCCTGATGTGGCGCTGTGGGTTAATGTACCAGGCTGCAAAGCCGTTTGAACTGCAAGGTTGGTGGTTCAAGCTCACCAGCTTCTCCTCAGAAACCCTATACAGGGTCGCTATGGGTTGGAATTGACTCAGCAGCACTTAACAACATAGAAGCAGATTGTCACAAATTTCTTCTTTTATTTAGCAGCTGAGTGTTTAACCACCATAACACCAGGCTTGTTATATGGGCACACACACGTAACATTTATTTAGACAGCACATTGTCATTGTGCACTGTTGAGTTGGTTCCCACTCACAGTGACCCTGTGTAGTTCGTGAGAATGGGTGGTGGGTTTGAACTGCCAACCTTGTGGTCATTAGTTCAGTACTATCCTACAGTGCTACACCAGGATCCCAAAAGTAGACTGTTGTTGTTAAGTGCCATCAAGTTGGTTCCGACCCATAGCAACCCTGTATAGGGTTTCCAAGGAGACGCTGGTGAGCTTGAACCGCCAACCTTGCAGTTTAAACAGCTTTGCAGTCTGGCGCATTAACCCACAGCGCCACACCAGGACTCTAAAAGTAGACTAGAGGGAGTATAATTTGTTGTCGTTATTAAGTGCTACTGAGTTAGTCCCAACTCACAGAGCTCCCAAATAGGGTTTCCAAGGAAGGGCTGCTAGTTGTGAGCTGCCAACTTTGAGGTTTGCTGTCCAGTGTTATACTATAACGCCACACCAGGACTCTGTGCTATAATGATGGGTGATTTTTACCTTGTATTTTTTTCCCTATAACTTTTTACATTGAATATATTCCCTTTTTTACAGCTTTATTGATACATAATTCACATACCATATAATACATCCACTTAAAATGCACAATTCAATTGTTTTTAGTATATTTTCAGAATTGTGCCCATCATCACTACCTAATTTTAAGACATCTTCATCACCTCCACAAAATACCTATTATCTGTCATTCCCTCATCCCCCTCCGCAGCCCCTGAAAACCACTCACTGTTTTTCTGCTTTTCTACACTGCCTGTGCTGGGCCTGTGCGCTGACGAACTCACACAATATGTGGTCTTTTTGCATCTGGCTTTTTCACTTAGCAAAATGTTTTCAAGGTTCATCCATGCTATAACATGTATGACGGAGCTTCAAAAAAGTTATTAAAAAGATGGAACTAAAAAATAATGAACACAATGGTAAAGGTAGAAGTTCTGTAAGTTAATCTTACAGTCCAAAAACAGAGGACCCTAGGACCATCAAGGGAGAAAAGCACAAGCAGAAAGCGGGACCTTATCTAGAGAAGCAGTGATACCAGACTAAGATGGAGGCAGAGATGGGGATATGGAGAAAGGGAGCAGCTGAGGACACTAGATTCATGGGAAAAGAGGGACTGAAAACTGGTGGCCAAGAGGCAGACTTGCAGAATGTGACCTTTGGTGGTATAAATGATCATGTACGCCAGAGTGTTTTAAAAAAAAGAGCTAAAGTGAATAGAGAGAAATACTGTTAACTGATGGTAGATGGAAGGGATTATAATCATTGTAATGAAACAAG